CCATTTGAACCATTTGAAGGTCCGTACAGCCGTTATAAGGCAATAAATAGTTTGTATAATCGGTAGCTTCATTTTTGAACTAGTGTCCAGCGTCTTTGCTATAAGCTTGTGTGAGCCAATCATTTTTTGGCACATGCTTCGTAAAACCCCTGAGGACTCAGTTATTTGGGATCGTTTTGTCTATATTTATCTTCCTTTCTCCTAGTGTTTGTCGCTGGACGTCAGGGTTCCATGGTCAGTGACTATCGTGGCACCGTGTGGATTATGTTGAGCCAAATTATTAGAATTCACGGAACTGACGATCCAAAACTTATCGTATGATTTGGAGAATTGAAATAAAGGTCGACAAAAATCAGTGATACGGATAATATCTATGTGTTAACCCATTGGTAGGCGATCCTGAAGGGTTTTCGCGAGAATTATGACAAGTTTACGACGTGTTTAGGTTATTGGGATAGTGAGAACTAGTTGTGTGACTTAAAGAAGACAGGCATAGCTCTTCTAATCGATATTAACGACTGTTGTTTTACAGGACTGTGATGTTTAATGTACCTGCGTTTTTTCCCCTTTTATGTCATGTTTCAAGAAATGGAGGAGTGATTGCAAAGGAAATAGACTTTCAGCTTCTTCATTTGTAACTATGTCATCATTAAGTGTCATGTTGTCAGTTTAGAGTTTAGTTTTTCATCTCCACTTCGTTTCCGCTGTGATGTGACACCTCTTTGAAACTTCTATGCGACCATTATGTCTTCCAATAGATCTTCAACTTGATATTGCTGGGCTGAATTACGGCTGTTTTGAGAGATTGTTAATAAGTGTGAGAAAAATAAGAGGTTCTGGAGTGAAGAGTACAGATGGAAAAGTATGGGGTACCCAGGCGGTTCTTGAAAATTTAAATCTCAATTTGAAGTTGGACTACTGTGGTTAAAATAATTGCCAGAAAATATGATCACGGCGTGCAGATTTTCGGGTATTAGTGGTCGCTCGTGAGTGTTCATTGACCATGTGGTTACAGCATAGCAGGATATATTTGGAAAGCACGGTAAACAGAATGCCTTTTTGGATGCATGTTCAAAGTATTGGGAGTGGACCGTGGAAACGAGACGAGATGGGGAAATTTGTGATAACGATACGACATATTATAATGTATAGTGGTCCTCCTGAAGTTGAAAGCTGATGGAAATCGGTTCGTATTATTATTATTAATGGCTTTATTCAATATTATATTTTGGTACGATATAGAATTCTCAGCACAGTAGTATGATCACATCCCAGATTGGCTTGTACGATTACTGCGTGTTGCAAAAGTCCTAATGGCATGGAAGTGATCACTTTTTCGCTTACGAAAGACCACTTGTTGTGGTTTAAAAGCAACCCTTTGTACCTTATTTATCTACTTTAATGTCTAGATTTCACATTATTGTATTTTCCTAATACTTTGTTAGTTGTGATTATCTTAGTCAGTTATTTATTCATGTAGTTTGACATTAATGTGGATCAGGAATAAATCGAGTATAGCTCCATTCAACACGTCTTCTCTCTCGTAAGTGCACTTCTCGCCTGTCTGTATCAAGACCTTTTAGTGTTCATTTAAACTCACTCATTACTATCCCCAAGGTTAAACTAGTTAACCTATCGTGTCAAGACCTTAAAGTTGATCGAGACAACTTCCTCCAAGTATGTTAGTTATAAACGGATCAACGACGTAACATCACTCCTTAGCTTCCTACCCTATAGGGCAGGGAATAAATAAATTATAACGTTTAGTAACAATATGAGCACACTTGGAAGTCCATTTGATCAAGAAAGTACCAAGTGAGGTTCACCTTAAACACAACACCAACAGTACATTTATTTCATATTCGACACCAATGGAGCCTTTGTGTGTTACCAATGAAATTAAATGAACCGATCTACTAGTCATCTTCATGTATGGGTTGCATTTCGTTTTTTTCAGCATGGAACCTAAACCGTTTGTCATTTTCAGCAAGTTTTTCTTGGCTATTACAGGATGACTAAAGTACTAAACTGTGAATTACACTGTCTGTCGCTTATTTCTGTAAGGGACTGACTGATTGATCATATTTGGAGAAGGTTCATGGTACCAGAGGGTGGAGTACGTATGAGGTGAAAATCAACAAAGAAAATCACAAGATTACTCTGGTTCAATCAGTAATGGCAACAGGTTCTATTATTTTACATTGCCTCCACCATTTCCATCCATAGTAAGTTTATGGTCTATATAAGTAGTCCACTTACACCTGCCACAGCGACAGCGAACATATGAGTAACATCTCAAACCTCAAGGTACTGATACAAAATATGTAGGTTTAAGGTGCTATCTAGAAATAACATAAGCTATGGAGTTATCAACATCAGTGCTCAGCAGATAGTTAGAAAGATTTATGTAGGTAATAACAAAACCGTTTATTGTCTTCAACGATCGCTATAGAAGGGGTACCAAGGAAGGTAGTTTGGCACTTAGATGTCTACAGTTAAGCGCGACGAGACAGTTTTAGTAGTAGCCTACCATATGGTACTAATAAAATAACTTTCCTTAGAATATACTGATGTAAAATGATTGTCATCCGTTTAATAGTAGGCCAACACAAAACTGTTGTTACAATTTGAAAATGTTTGGATTCTGGGGATTCGTAGAAAGAAAATTGATTTCCGTTAATCCTCGTATGAAATCTTAGTATAATTTTTGAACGAGTTTCTGTTCCGTTAAAAATGAAACTTTTAAAGGATTAATTTTTTACTGTTTGAAAAGATAACCTCAAAAGACAACTTAAATTTGATACATTTTAATACTGTTTTACACCCAATCGTGATAAAACTTTGCGGCAGTAAGATAAACGAGAACTTAAACACTATCAGAATTTACCCATCAATTTTTCCTTATCTATTGTTTTTGGACATAATGTACCGTTTTGTTCTACAAAAAGAACACGACCATTGACGAAACCAAAATAATACTAAGGAAGATCCTGAAAATATAAACTCAAGTTCTTCTAGGTTAGGAGGCAGTGGATACTTGAGTCAGATGATGGAGAACCGATTACATGAAAAATTCGATGTTCGGCTGTCAGTGAGATATGGTCGTTGTGTTAGTTACTGAAGCTAATCTAACAACAGATCAATCTGAAGACCATTCGTCTATAAAAGCTGACATGTTGAAATGAAATTTGACACAAGGGGAAACTCTGTATATGAGGGAGGGACGGAATCGTAGTATGTATCAACAGCAATTTAATTCACCTAGTATCTACGTACTGAACGAACCTACAAAAGCCAACTATATAGGTAAAATTCCTTGGAAGGTTTCATACCAAGACTGATCGGCTGTCCAATGCTACTAGGTTCTCAATGGTGATATATTGTTCGATTCATGATCTCAATCAAAATACGGATGGCGATTGAAACTGGAAAGAAACTTGTATAATGACAGACTGAAATCAATGCGGTCTTAAATGCCCGTGTGAATTTCTTCCAATTCATATACTGTGAGACCTACCTTAGTAAATAAGACGCGCAAGTAACTTAAGTATCCAATTTCTTCCCTCATGGTGAGATACAATTTCAATAGGCTCAACTTGTAGCGGTAAATCAATCCCAAAAATTAATAGTTCTGTAAGTCTTCGAAATTGATGCTGACCTCATTGGTTTTAGCAGACGCATCTAGCTGAAGGTGCTCGGTCACACATCCTCACCAGACCACAAATGGGTACGCCGTACTACACATTCCTTACAACTGCTAGTCAGCTTACACCAAACGCTTCTCGACACATCGACAGCTTATCTTTGAACCTCATTATTTCTGACTTTTGATTTGACTGGTTTGGTATACTTCTTTCATAAGGGTGTTACGTGTAAAGGCGATGTTAAACTCCGAATACCTGTGACGTCTTTAAACTAAAATGGAGATTTGCTACATTTTTTGTGTTCAACCAGTGAGTTGAATACTGACTGAGACGGGAACCCATTACCCTTCTGTACAAAGCCTCTAAAAGTTTCAACTTTTCTGAACCGTTCGTCACTATTAGATGCTGGTCAATGTGAAAACAATCAACTTCAATTCATAAAAAATTATTGTGATGAATAATGAATTGCTTGTTCGGAGTAGTAAACAAATCAGTAACATACAGATTTGTACATGGTAGGCAGTTTCAGGAAGAGGCTCGCAAAACATGCATGTATTCATGGATTACTGCCCTTTGCTCGGCATAATAGTTTATTGTAGATACTAGGAAAGATGGTCTTGCGCTTATCGACCCTTCCTCTACTGTCTCATAATTTATCTCTCATTATCATTATTATCATAATTACTACCGTTACGAACTTATCTTACCATAGTTTACCTCGTATCATTTACATTGATTTTCTCTTATGCAGCAATCCATGAATTAATTTTAATTAGTTAGATAATCTGATTTTACTGGATCATTTCATTTTCTCTCCTTTTGATTTCGATTTTATAATTCTCAGATTTCACTCAACTATCCGACGACCCTTGTAACATGACAACTGAAAGTCCCAGTAACCCCCACTTCCCCTGCCTAAGATCATTTGCTTTTGTTCAAGATATGCTACCCCTTAAATAACTGCCGAATTCACTAGGACTAGTATGTTCGTGTGTTAACAACTCTGATTGGACGCTACCAAGTACCAAGAACATTGTCTTAGCACACCGATATAAGCCCAAATAGACCATTTATTTTATTCTAGCTCATTAGAATGTTATCTGAGATTGAAACTTACGAAAGTTTATCCAAACTTAATCAAACTTCTAGGTACATTTCTATCTATTCACTTGAAATATTGAACAAATTCATGGAACTGCTGTAACTCAATGCTGATATTGCAATTTCCTTTTAGTTCATGTACAAAAGATGTATTAATGTAAGCTAGAATGAAGAAATAATGTCGATAGTAATAATGAGAAGACAAAGATAATTGTAAAGTTAAATAATTAAAATTTAACAAATTTACACACTTACATTTATTGTTAACTTTGTATCATCTTTGAATTGATTAATATCAATGAATTCGACAAAGATGTATGAAATAGACCATGCACATGCTTTAATCATAAGGGCTACGAATAAATGTGAATGAATTGTATTACGCATACATTTTAAAGATCTGTAATATAAGTATAACAGAAGGAGGACTGAGAAGTATGATTATTTGATATAATTAACTTGGTCGAAAAACGGTTCATTTCTTAATAAAAACTGAATATAATTAAAGTATCAGAAAAACGTTGTCAAGATTACGAATCCATCAAAGTTGGGTAATTACTAAAAACGCAGACGATTATTTCGTCCTATCCTAGTGTGGGATTCCTCACCAGTGTGTATTTTTAATCTTGTTACCGGGGACCAAATTCAAGAATATCGGTCTCAACTGTGTACACTTAACCTTTCGATCACTCAGTCAACATCTAAGGGTGTAACATCCCAATTCTAGTCAATCCCTTACTACCATCGTTGTTTTCGGTGAGTTCTTTCTTCACAGTTGATATGGTTGAAATTTCGATTAGTGTGATTAGTGTGGATATACAAAATCCACATGACAACATACCCAGATCAAACATGTGACATCTAAATTTATTAACTCACTTCTATTGGTTAACTTATGTGGTTAATTTTGGTAAATCTTTATCGATTTATCTGCCTATCTGTTAATCTTTCTAGTAATCTTATTTTATCATTCGACTAACTAATAACTATTCAAGACACGTTGAGTAATTGACAATCTGGAAATTTTAGATGTATTTCACAACTGTACGGATTTAACATGTCTAAAGCAATACTAGATTTAGTTCACTGAATTATAGTTTGTGAGGACGGCCCTCAGATGAACTCACGGAAGCTGTAAGAAGCTCAGAAAGAGCTGAAGACATTCTGTCCAATCATCTTTTGTAAGAACATTCCAGAATATCAACGTGTAACTTTCCTATTAGACGAATGCTAAAAACCACTGTATGCGCATTGGATGACTATAATGATGATTTCATCTTTACTAAAAACTATAAATACCTGAGAGCAATGTACTATATTTAACACTGTTTGGAATAAAATTCCTTCTTACTCATCTTCAATCTTCTAATCTGAGACTTGGAGGGTTCTAGCGTTCGAGTGCTCAAGTAGTACGCGGTATAGAAAAAATCTAAGCTCTAGATATAACATAGTTTTAGAGTATTATAATTTTGCTACAATTACTGGACATTTCCGTGTCAATGTCCCTAAAAATACAATACAATTACAAAGAGATTTAACTCTAGTATCAATTCAATACTACTATTACTTCATTCCAGCTATGTCCATTCACTTCTGTCACAATTTGATTCTGTTTATTATTTCTGTATAAGTCAGTTGATTTAGTTACTTTACTAAACATTCAGGAATATTGCTACTTAAGATTTCATTGAATTCATTGTTTAACAACGTAAACACAAAAATGTATGTTCAGGAACTGCAATTAATCAGACAATAGACATTCGTTTAGTCCCAACCCTATTGAAAACGAGCTAACTTACAAAGTAAATTGATTATCACGGGGATGCAATTGAACAAACATAAATGTATAAATGAAGATTAAGAAATATAAGAATCGGTGTTTTGACAAGTTGATTGGATTTATAAAAGGTTAAATTTTCAAAATCAGTCAACAAAATACTTCTAATAGTTGAGATCATGATCACCATGTAAAACCTGGAAGCATTGAATGGCCGTTTCATCTTATTGTGGAACTCCTCAACAGTGCGCATCCACGATCCCGCTATGAAAGATTCAAACCTAGGACCTAGTGGTCTCGCATGAGAATGCTTCGATTGATTCATGATCTTAACTATTAAAAATCACTATAATATCCACAAAACTCCTTCTGATATTAAAATAGTTTTAGTTTAAGCGTTATGTTTATGAAACATTATCCAAGGTATTTGTAATGTCTTTTCAAGTAACAACTTTGATGGTTCAAAACTAACCTCTTTCAGTGTAACAATAAGAAGGATTGATGTTCATAATAGTTAATAGCTAAAACGTTATATTCAGTCTTTCTTTCTGACTGACATCAGATAACTGTTCTCAAGCATGGTGTCATTTAGCACAGTAGCCATAATAGATAATTTGATCAGTAATAAAAATTTAAGCATTGAAGTTGTTACTGATTTGTATGGCAAGACTAGAATTTATGGGCAAACCAATCAGATTTACGATAACAGGTCTTAAATTTTGGCGCGAAATTCATTCACCCATTTGGTTAAATAGAGTCTTGGCATTATAGCTGATGTTAGTTCATGATGAAAACCCTAGATTTAATTCCTAATCCTAACCATAAACTGTAAATCATAATCTTTATTCTTCAAACCCTCATTTAGCCTCAGTAAGTAGGTCACTTTAGCGTCGCTCAAAGGTCGTCCATAAATTATAGTCTCACCGACTAAATTGTCTCTCTTAATGCTTAGTTTTGTTCTGTCCTACTAAATAATCAACACTTGGTTACTCTATTTAATTGAGAATATTTCCTATTCCCTAATTATTAATACTACTGACACATCGGTTTTTTGAAGATTGTTTAGTTTTATGATTTATGTCACAAGCTAATCTTAGTAGGACAAACATTAAAAATCAAGGAACATTAAACATCCGTTTTACAGTGGTATGTAACTCGCTAACAGTGAGAATTCATGACTTCACAGGGGATTGAATGATTGATATTCAAATCTTCTATTGACTGTTTAACCTTCAAATTAAACAATTAGCATCTAATACTTACATATATAACTTCAATTAATTAATAACATTTCCAACTATTGTCCAATGTCATTGGTGGACAACTACTCTACACCCTAAAAAGACTGAACTCTGTTGATCACTACTTTTTATTAGATATCAAAGAAATTCCTCCTAGAATCAGTCATTAATGAATACACGACACGCGCCGACATTGAGGAGTTCAACATTAGGATGATTATATTATTAGAAATTGAAATAAACTTACTTGAAAATATAGAAAATTATAAGTGCCAAACATAAACACGTACAAGATAAGGAATAACCAGTAAGAAATATACAACGTAATATCATGGTTAAGTCCTAAAATTTTGATGAAAAGAAATAAACATTAAGAAAGTGCTTTGAATTATATTCTTTTAAAATCAATACTTTGAATTACTTTATAGTGTTGGTTATTATGTTAAGCCCATATACCTTATTCTAGCTTTTGGACAGTCTATTCTATTCATTCTGCTTGAGTAGTCACATTCTGACATTGTTAATTACGTGAGCGCGTAAGTGTGTGTATATTTCTTATCCTACTCATCACATATTTGTAACCTAATTTTGTGTGACTATAAATATTGATTAACGCTTGGTTAGATGGGAGTTGGCTTACCCGCCATCTCTACTCTGCATCGTTTCTCTTCTCTCTATTCCATTCGCTTCATATACAAAAAATATATATTCAGAAGTCCATTGTCGTTATTTGACTTACCTAAATCGGTCATTGACTAACGCGATTAAAGTCGATGATTAATATACGAAGATAGGCGACATATATATTTCAGTAACAATCATCATTACGATCTCGTTGGAGTCAGATCACTGGCCTCCACAACTTTCCGAACAATTATGGCATGATTGTGTCGAAAATTTTGATTTCTTATTTGATATGGTAAATGATTGAGGATTTCAAGTTATAAATTAACAATGGAATACAAAATAGAACTGATCTGCATCTTATCTACATCTTCTGATTAGCTAGTAGGTTAGATGGAGCACAATGACCAATAAGTATTAGCGTCTTGGGTATTGTTCATTGGCTGGTGTGTCAATCGATAATCAGAAGATCACCTCTTCCGGTGGTGATATTAGTGAACTAGTTGATATTCATAATCCTGATTAGGCAATATAGCACGTAGTATCGATTAGGATGCCAATACAACTGCCACTATCCTTAGCAGATTAGATAGAATTTGTCAAAGTATATATTGTATAAGGGTTATATGAGGAGTCAAATGCAAGAGAAGGAGACGTGTGCTGATCAATGTATTTACTAAGCGATTTCCATGTCAAACAGTTCAGTTATAAGTAGCATAGAATCTAGAACATGAGTTCATCGTTTCAATCTCCACAACCTCATACTGATAATTACTGTGTACTCACTAGTGACTAGCTTCGTGAGGGGAATAATCGGAGTTCTAGTGAGAAGCCGTGACCAGTGAAGTCCAATCCGTGTCGGGTAGGGACAGGTATCTACTTCAGTACAATGGAAGATGGTCGCGCCATTTCATGGATTGGTTGAGGTTAGACATTAACACAGTTGGATGCCGGTTCAGTGGTGTATAGACTAAGCGTTCTGATGAGAGACTAAAAGCCCTAGGTTTAAGCACATTGAGCGGGATTGTGGGTGCGCACTGCTGAGGACGAAACAGTCGTCCAGTACTTTCAGGTTTTCAGTGGTGGTCTAGCTTAGATTGACTCATGAATTTAACTCATAAAATTACTACAATCTTTATAAAACCCTATTCAAATAACAATCATATTTGACAAAGAAAGGTCTTAAGTACATTAGTCGGTTCAGATCATTCAATAGCTCAGGTTATTATTGGTTAATTGGCCCTAAGGTTGACCAGGGGTGGAGAAGCGGTTGAAGATATTTCTCTGATTTCTTAATCCGGTTAGCTACTGCTTCCACCTTTTGAAGGACTTTGAGTCTAACAGGCTTTGGCAAAAAATTACTGACCCGATAAATAGTTGGAAACAACTAGCTAGCACTATGACCAGTTTACATTAAATGGACCAGAATCGAGCTGCTCACTTTCTCCACTAGAGCTTTGCTTAACCATTCTGGGAAGTGTTTGTGAGCACGAAAACGTAAACTTTCGGAACTTCGACCAATATTGTCGAAGGCCTATTTATCTCCACTCAGTAACCATTCATAGTATAATTTCACTTGGCTCATCAGATGGTTTATTTATACTAAAACGTTATTGAGAATGATAACTTAGTAGCTTATTTAGGTTGTATTCCACACAAGAACTGATTGTTTTGAATTACATTTCAAGATAGATGGACAGATAGGTCCTGGGTTTGAATCTTGTGGGGTGGGATCGTGGATACGCACTGTTAGGGAATCCCACCATAGGACAAAACAGCCGTCTAGTACTTCCAGGTTTTCCACAGTGGTCTAGCTTCAATTGATTCATGAATTCAACTATAAAATAACTAAAATCTCCACAAAACTCCTTCTGATAATGAATGAAAAAAGTTGATCTTTTAAGTTTATCTTAATTGATTTAAATATTAAAACAAGACAAACCTACCAAAGTAGATGAATCCATGGTTAGAAGACATGGTATATAATTTGACTTGGAAGACCAATTTCCATTCTCTAAGCATTCTTTACTTGCATTTTCTAAAAAAAGGAAACATTATTGTGTCATAGACATGATTGAAGGAAAGATGTAGATATGGATGTTAGATTTATGAATACTTTTGTAATGTAACAAATGCAAGTGAAGACAAAACTAGTGTAGAAGCAGCCTCTGCAGCAGTAGGCCACAACATACACAAAGGACAAAGCATTATCCTCAGGTACAACACAGAGAACATCAACACAATCACACTTGATGGGGAAGCTCTGGAAGATGTGGAATCCTTCATGTACCTGGGAAGTATCATCGATAAACATGGAGGATCGGATGCAGTCGTAAAGGCTAGAATTGGCAAAGCAAGGGCCTCATTCCTACAATTGAAGAACATATGGAACTCAAAACAACTGTCTGTCAACCAATATCAAAGTGAGAATCTTCAATATGAACGTTGAGACAGTTCGTTCTACTGTACGGAGCCGAAACGTGGAGAACTACTACAACCATTATTGGGAACGTAAAAGTATTTATAATTAGTTGTCTACGCAAGATACTCAACATTCATTGGTCGGATACCGTCAACAACAGCCTACCATGGGAGAGAACAAATCAACTTCCAGCTAAGGAAGAAATTAGGGAAAGACCTCACACAAATTGAATGATGTATATGGCTCATATCTATTTGGTGCCTCCTTGTACCAATGTTTCTGTGTTTCTATAAATAATATTCAATCCCTAATAAAATCCATTCCATCTTGGTCAATAAAATTTATTGTTAAGTTTTTTTGTCAACCTCTAGTAATTTCTAATTACGAATAACTGGATATTTTGTTAATATAAAACCGGATCTACTCGAACTCAATAGACTCAATTATTGATGCACAACCTTTAAATAATGATTACTAATATAACGAAAAAATAGAAAGAAGTTAGGAGTCGGGGAAAAGTTTAATTATCGGTATGGGATTGAGGAGATTATTATGTTTTTGATTGAGATCATGAATCGACTAGTGTTAGACCACTGTTGAAAACCTGGAAGCACTGGACGGTTTTTTTGTCCTATTATAGGACTCATCAGTAGTTCGCGTTCACGATCCCGATGGCGGGATCCGAACCCAGAACCTTTGGTGGAAACAATTAATAATCGGTGTGTAAACAACTAACATCAAAATTCGTTACTTTAACATTGCTTTTTCTAGAGACTATCTTTAATTGCTTCTTACTATTCCTATCATGAAAGGGAGGAGGAATGCTGATGAAGCGTACATTTCCGTCCTTGCAACCTAATAGTAAGATTGTAGTGGACGCTACTCACAAGAATCTTTGTAAGTAGTGTGCGGTAGAATGTTGTTTTGAAGTTACAACAATTATCGGACAGATTGAAGAGTTTCAATGAATCAAAAGCACTGCTTTGGTTGAACACTTGGCTGCCAATCAAGAAGACAGTCCATATGGCAGAATGAACCGGAAGATGCAAATGGACAATTGGAGTCTATGTATATGTATTATCTGAATACTTTGTAGCTTCTTGCAGTAAAGATGCATACCTCCTGCTTACTGTTTTGTCTTACAAGTTGATTGATTATTTATCGTGTGTTTTATCATATTCAGTTTAGCGAATCAAAATTTGATCAGTCTGTAAAATCAGACAAGCAAAATGCTGGTTGTTTTTGTAAACAATCTTCAATTCTTAGAGAGAAATAGACAGAGAGAATAGATTTTATTTCCCTGTATTACTTTTGAGGTATTTGTTTACAACACAATGAATAAACATTGATACATTATACAGATATAACACTAAATGTTGTACACGTTTTTGTATTGTCAATCTGATTTACCTTTTTACTTTATTTATTTAGACACATAAACATAGGTACAAGAAGGCACCAAATAGTTATGCGCCATATAAACCAATCAATTTATGTGGGGGCTGGGAGACTGTCCGGGTGCCCAAACCGAAACAGGTTGTTTCCTCGGGAGATCGAACCCTGAGCCTTTGATATGAAGGTCTAATCCATAAAGCAGTGGAGCAACGTCAGGAGATACAGTTCTATGATAGCCGGTGATCAACAACTGGTTCATGTGTCATTTGTCCCTTCAGAATACTGGAGCCCATGTGCACCACTGGTTTGGAATGAGGGTTTTCCGACTCCCCTAAGTGGACTCTTCGTGCCCACCAATCCGGTTAAAGCGCCGGACATTTGCTTTTCATCCTCCCAATTTCGTAAAAGACAGTAATGCCGCGAGAAGGCAGTGATTAGGACTTCCCTGACAGTGGTTGTTTGCACGTGGTCATGTGAGAGCAATTGAAGAGGGAGAGTTGACTCTACTCACTCTCGGCCGTACCACAGCATTTGGAGAATATATTTAAGTGGAGATTTGTTCACTGAGCTAAATGATTTAGTCGTGGAGCTTTCATTGTTTTTCTGAACAATATTATCAGCACAAACTTTAGGTAGAAGTGAAGTGTTCGAATTCCTTCCCTATATATACCTTCTATGGGAAATGGAATTTATGTATCAATAAACGTCTCGTCGAATAATATATAATAATAATAGTAATAATAATAATAATAATGATAATAATAATAATCTCCACATTCCCCATATTGATAATAATTGTGAGCTCATTAGTAACTAGATTCAAGATGAAACTCCTGGTGTTCTAGTGAGACGCTGTGATCAGTGGAATCCATTCCGTGTCGGGTGGAGACAATTATCTAATTCAGACAATAGATGAAGGGTTTCACAAGATCATGGATCAGCTGAAGTTAGAAATTAACATCGTTAGATGCCGGATCAATTGTCTAGAGGTTAAGTATTTGCGCATGAGGCTGAAGGTCCTGCGTACCAGTCCTGTGTGCAGGATCGTGGATTTGCACTTCTGAGGCTTGCGATACTAGAACAAAACAGTCGTCTAGTGTTTTCAGGTTTTCAGTGTTGGTTTAACTTAGATCGACTTGTGAATTCAACTTTGAAAATGCTACAATTTCCACAAATTCCCGTACTGATAATTTTCATTCTTCTTAAGTAAATATATGTTTAATATGAAATTGACTTGCACCGATAATGTCAAAAATCTTAGGAGAATAGTTTAAATGGATGATTAATGAATATTTATATAATTAAGCATATGTAAACTTGAAACTGGAAAGTTCGTATCTTCTCATTGTTGATGTTAAGGACTGTAACCGACCAATTTTTAGTTTCTCCTGATCAGGTTTTCTCAATATATTCCCATTTGTTCACAAGTTTTTTTTGAGTAAAATCGGGTAGGAGGACAGTGGTCTAATAATTTAGGCACCCAACTACCAGACAATAACTCTCTAGTTCTGACTCCACCCAACCTACTTCAGTTTGGATAATTGAGTAGTAGTATCGTTGACTCACATACTTTGATTGTGGCTCATGACTAAGTGCTTAGTAAATGAATGAATTTAAATTCAGTGATTTATAGGTTGTATTCGCATGTAACACAGAAGGTTGTAGATCCGGTTCCCTGTTGGAGGTTTGTATATGTGCACTGATGGGGAGCCCGACACTTGGTTGGATAGATACCTCTATGATTCAACTGGTGGCCTAGCATAAATCGTTTCGTAATTTTAATAAAGTTCAGCAATATTCAGAATATCATGCTTATATTTCATCAGTTCGATAGAATTCCATCATTAATAGTCACTGAAATTAATCAATGTGTGACTGACCTTCTCTTTTATGATTTATGTTTTGGAGTAGAGTAAGATGAGGGAAGAGAGAGAGCGAGAAAGAGAAAGTAACACTTCTCATCTTGGTTCGAGATATTTCTAGAGTAGTTCGTTAATACCCAATAAATATAACTAAAAATGATAGGTCCTGAGTTCGAATCTTGCGAGGCGAAGTCGTGGATGCGCACTGTTAAGGAGTCTCACAAAAGGACGAAACAGCCGTCCAGTGCTTCCAGGTTTTCCATAGTGTTTCAGCTTTAATTGGTTCATGATCTCAACCATTAAAAATTATTTTTTATCAAAACTTGTGTGTTTAGTTTAAGCCAGTAGATCACATGATCTTGTTGATAGATAAATACAAAGATTACTTCGATGCTTATTTTAGAGTTTCTTAAAAAAATTGATGATTCAGTTACTATCCAAGTGGTTGACTGATGACTTTTCAGATCGTAAAGCTAGATGATAAGGATTTAAATCCATTAGGGGGAGAGGTATCGCTTACATCCAAATTACTTAATGGTTGAAGAAATTCTATAAAAATTTCTAACATTCAATTTCTATCTTGATCATACTTCTGTATATGTAGTAAAGTAACTAGCTAAAATAGTGTAGATAAAAGTGTCATTGTTAATCAAGGAATAAAGAACTAACCATTTGGATTGTACGTTTGACCTTCATAGCTTGATGGACATGGCATTTGAACTTTAGTTCCTGCTAATATTGGTGGCCAACATGTTGCTCCGTCATGATATGGTGGACAGTATAACAATGATTTATCTTGTAATCTAATATCTAGAAGGTAGAACAAAATAAATATAAGTATCGTTTAGTAGATTATTCAGAAGAAAACCCTACAATTTCTATCTAACTTACACAGATTAGAGAGATTTTTTCTATGAATTGAAGGGACATAATAGGATTATATATATGAACATTGAACATTATAGTAAATCAGAATAACAGGCTATTAGAATTGATCATAGACTAAAAGAGTTCATTTTTTAACTTTTCTAATTCAATTAGTGAGTAACCATATCTGGAATCTCTAAGGCGACATTATAATTTATGGATGAACCAATCAGATTTTAGATAACAGATCTTAAATTTTGGCACGAAATTCACTCATCTATTTGGCCAAATAGCGTCTTGGCATTTTAGCTAATGTCACTTCGTGATGAAAACCTTAACTCTAATTCCTAACCCTAACTATCAACTGTAAATCATAATCTTTATTCTTCAAACTGCTTTATAACCCTCATTTAGCCTTAGTAAGGAGGTAGACACAGTAAAGTTCACTTTAGTGTCACTCAAAGGTCGTCCGTAAAGTTGTCTACTCTGAAGAAGTTCAGACAAGTTTGTTGGACGAAACTTCGGAATTATTTAGATTTTAATCGCTGAGATAATTTCAAATATAATTTTCACATATAATGACTTTTTTATTATCTGTACAATTTTCATTTCATTTATTGAAGGTTAACTTTGAAAAAATAAAGTATTTATGAATATATATTTTAATAGTTGGATTCATTAGTCAATTGATGCTAGACCACTATGGGGAACCTGGAAACACTGAACGGATATCCATCCCTAGGATGGGACTCTTCAGAAATGTGAATCCGCGACCCCGCATGCGAGACTAGAATTTAGGGCCTTCGGTCTCTTGCGCGAGCACTTAACTTCTAGACCTCTAGCTAACTTCAATCAATCCACGAAATTGCACCACCGTCCAACCTGGTCTGTTGTGAGATAGTAACCCACTGAAGACAATAGAGAACGATGACGCAATTTCATGCGTTGGTTGAAGTTAAACATTGACACCGTTGGATGATGGCTCAGTAGTCTGGTGGTTTGGCACTCACGCAGATGACCGATGGTCCTGGGTTCGAACCACGTGTGCAGGATTGTAGATCAGCATTACCACCTAGGAGTCTCGTGCTAGGACGAAACGGCCATTCAGTGCTTCCAATTTCTCCATGATGGTCTAGCTTTAATTGACCCATGAATTCAACTATTAAAATTACAACAATCTCCTATAGCCGCTTTTTGAATACATATTTGTTGAGAAATTCTATTCTGTTTTGCCTTCATTTATCATTAAGGGAAGATGTTTCTAGAGATATGTCTAAGCATCTAAATCCTAAAGAGTAATTTAGCAGATAATTGAAAATACCTTTTTACTAAAACGTAAATATAAAGATTTCGATCATGAATCTAAGTGAGAAACGTTATTTTTGCTGTGCAAGTGAAGCGGATGCTTTGATTTTCAAGGTTTTAATTTAGTTAGGTAATATGTAGATCTTTTATTAATTTGTTTGAAATTTTAATACTACTAACCAGTAGTTTGTAATTCTTTTTAAAAGTTTGTTGTCATGTTACTATTCAAATGAGAGACTGTTTGTACTCTTCGAGATAATCAATTTTTCTGCTTCAGAGACATGTGAAGATACATATATTTACTTTTGGGGGGATCCTAGTATTTAATTACAAATACTGCTAGTATATTAATAAGCCCCCAAATGCCTTGGTACGACCGAGAGTGCGGAGAGTCCACTCTTTCTCTCTCTCTTTCTCTCTCTCTCCAAATGCTCTCACATGACCACGCGTATATAGCCTCTGTCAGGGAAGTCAGGTTTTTAATGACGATTTCATTGAATATTAGTTCGTGATTTAATCTTAGAAAATCCTACAATATTCCTTTTTGGATTCAATTGTTATTGTTTACTTGAATTTTCCCTTTGATGTTTAGCACTGCAATTGATCAGTCTCTTATTCCCATATGTGCATACTGTGCGTATTGCCTTGATAGTGCACTAATTCACGAGTATTATAAGCAAACATGGATAGTGGCTAGCAGTGGAATCCAGTTTGATGCGCCTTCCATTCTATTTGGTAGTCGTTAGCTGGACGAACCTGCATCTCATAGTTGATGTTCACTCTGGAACTCGAACCCAGTACAGTGATTAATTGAATAACGCAATGTCATTTGAAGTGAATGGTACTGGGTTCGAGTCCAAGACCGAAAACTAACTCTGTGATGTGGCAAGTACATCCAGCATCCTGGATTCCACTACTAGCCACTATCCATCCTTGCTTAGAATATTCGTTTTCGTTTACACTTTAGTTATTAAGTTACTTATTAAAATACCATGTTCACTATCAAAACAGTCAGTGTGTGTGTGTGTGTGTACGAACTTAGTACATGTAAATAAATTATCAGCTGATATTATGTATAAACATACATTAAAGTTTACTAATTATTTACTTCGTTCGAATGAAAAAGCACACGGGAATAAGGCCAACATCAATGTGAACAGGAAACACAAACATACAATAAACAGTGTACATTTTGAACGTAGTAAAGAAACCATCCATTGGAACATGAATAAACCAGACAAAATAATGAAACTATTATGAATAATGTTGAATGTATGATAACTATAGTTGAATTAGGCATCATTTATTGTTGTTTTATTACTTACCAAATTTTTCTATAGATGATTTCACATTCAATCGTGTGTTTTTGTTTAGTTCATTTTCTTTCGTATTCATTCAATGTGATTTCTGTTTACCTGATTTGAATGAATTGAGAATAATAGAACCGTAGGCCTTGGGTTGGAATCCCGTGTGTGGGATTGTATATGCTCATTGCTGAGGAGTTCCACAATAGGACATTGTTTAATTTCATGGGAATCATGAATCCATCGATGTTAGACCACCAATGAAAACCTAGAAGCACTGGATGACCATTTCGTTCTAATATGGGACTTCTCAGCAGTGAGCATCCACGATCGCTCACACGAGAAACGAACTCGGCACTATTGATCTCTCGTCAGAACTCTTAGCCTCTAGACCACTGAGTCAGAATTCAACAGTGCTAATGTCTTACATCAAACAATCCACGATGTCGCGCGACCATCTTCCATTGTCTTCGATTCGTAACTACCTCAAACATGACACGGTTGAACTCCACTGGTCATGGCTTCTTAACAGAACTCCAAGAATTCCCTCTTGAAGGTAATCACTACGGAGCACATAATAAGCTTTGCTTAATAGAGATAAGTTAAATACAACAATACTACTGAATTATTTCTCTATATATTTAGCTTGGTATTTGCATTTTGTATAATGTGATTAGCTTTCCTAATTTTCACAACATAATACCTTGTTTACATCATCGAACTTCCAATCTAATCAATTTCAAGTGTGATTTTATCTCTCTGTCATTGTGTCCCCGGAAGTTTCTCTTTAAATCATTGTGTCAAATTGTTGTTGACAATCATAACTTTAGAATTAATGGCATTTTGTTACTCAGTCATACAACATTGATGACGTAACTATGATTACTGTCGATGTCAGCCACTATTATTAATCGTACTCAGAATGAAATGTCGAATTCTATGCTACTCATTTGTAATTCTGATTAAACTTACATATGTAAATACACATGTCATTTTAAAGGACTGTTAATGTGTTGGTTGACATTTTCGTTGCAAAACAAAATAACACTATGCTACATTCATTCTCCTATTGATTGTTTGAATCTGTCCATTGATGTTTAAGACTGCAATTGATCAGTCCAATGCTAGTCACTATCCATCTATGATTACAATACTTTTAACTGAACGTGATATCGAGTATATACATATCTTAGTCAGAGACCGATCAATTATAGTCGTAAACGTCAATGGGAAGATTCAAACAACCAATACGAAGTAAACTTCCCGTTGTTGCACAAGCTAGTGGTTATGTGAACTCAGTAGCTGGGTGGATAACGCAATGGCGATTCAACCGAACATCATTGGACATCTACTCTAGGATGTGGTAATTACATTCAACCGATGAATCCTAAATAATACGGAACATGCGCACTAGATTCTACTGATACCCATCATCCATTTGTACATTTGAATAGTCATTTCAATAATATACCAACTCATAAATATCTCATAACGAGTTATGCAATAATTATTCCATATTTTTGGTGTTATCAACTTAGTATAGTCAATCTTAGAGTAAATACAGTTTATTATAAAACCAATTAGCCGCAATTGTTACACAAAGAATGGTGATAATTCGTAAATACACTTTGAATAATTCAACAAATTCTAGTTAACATACCATTTGTATGTGTATATCATAAATGGATTCGTAAGCTACAAACTAATAACATTCACTATATACATTATAACTTCAATTTGCTAACCCAGGACAGAGAGGTTCGGAAAATGCTGGTCAATGGCTTATTCTCGATTGGAAGCTCATCGAAAATACCACATGAGGGATTCCAGCGTGAAATCGAAGGCCTCGGGTGCGAATCCCACTCGCGGGATCTTAGATGCGCAATGCTGAGGAGTCTCATACCAGAGTTAAACAGCAGTCCAGTGTTTCCAAATTTTCAATGGTGATCTAACACTAAACAGTTCATGATCTCAATTAAAATGGAATAATTTTTTATTAGTCCATTCACCGATTATCCAAAAATAACATACCATCTAGACTGGATAAAGAAATCATAAATACTGAAGACATTTATGTTGCCCAAATTTTCGTTGCATAATACGTCAAATCTATGACTTCGTTCCATATGAATAGACTTTTAGATGAAGTAGAATATCAATATGGTGTTGTAGAGATTGTTGAGTTTTATTGAGATCATGAACTGATCAATGTTAGACCAATATTGAAGACCTGCAAGCACTGGACGGCCGTCTCGTCCAAGTATGGGACTCTTCAGAAATGTATGTGCACGACCCTGCTCCTAGAAACAAAACACTAGATATTCGCTCTCGTAC